CTATAAATTTTCATAATATTTAAATAGTTATTAAAAAAATTATATTAAAAAAACCAATTCCAAAAATTTATAACTCATACTGTATATTCAAGATACTTATAATTAATACTTACAGTTTGAACATTAACTTATGTAGCTTTGTAAGGAATGAGATTTATTGTCGGATACCTTCTTAGAATAAATATCATCAGACCAGTTTATTGCTAAATTGGAATAAGACTAAAACAGAGATTTGCATGAAAAATATTAGATATTAAGAAAAGTAATTACTAAATCTACTTATCGAAAGCAAACACCTTGTACATTTTATAACTTTTGACAATTATTGTAATATCAATTAGATAACCATTGTATTATGACATCTTTTTTAAAAATTACAATCTTAATATTCACTGGATTAGTATATGAAATGGCTTTCTATGAAAAACAGCATTTTTATAGATTATAATATCAGATATCATATTAATTCTATTCAACTGTTCTTATATAGAATTAAACTGGTATCTTGTGATTTGATCTGTGAAGTATTAATTACTACACTATGGATCTATAGGTTTGAAAAACAAGTTTATTTAATATATGATAACTATTTTTATTTAATTATAATAATTTTTAAGTGGTTTTTCATTTATTGGGGGAGACTGTATATAAAATTTATACTTATTTATTAATATAATAAAAAGAAAAAACATTATTTTTATTAATTAATAATATTATAGTATTTATTAAAAAAATAATAAATAAATTATTTATTTTTATAATAAAATTTTTTTAATATAATAGAATTTAATATTTATTAAGTTTTTAAATTATTATTATAATTATTATTAAAAAAATATTTTCAATAATTAAGTTTTTTTGTTAGTTTTTAATAAACTTTATATAAAGTTTATTATTACATTTCAATATATTTAAATTTAAACTTATTCTTGATAATTATTAACTTGTTAAAAAAGTTAATATATTAATTTAATAATTTAAAAAATATAATAAGTGTATTATTATTATTAAAAATTATTATATTAATATGAAAATGGTACTATTAATTAGCCATGATAATTTTTTATTTATTTAAACTTTATTAAACTTATTTGTTATATTGAATAATTAATAAAAATTATAATTATATTATTAATAAAGAATCAAATCATTGTAAACTAATATATATTAACAATATCATCAAATAAATTCTTTTTTTATTACGTATTTAATTTTAAATTTTTTATAAATGATAATTTTTAATATTATATTTAAAACAAAACTTTTAATAGTTTTTTTTATATGAAATATAAGATTTATTTTAATTATTTAAATAAAAATCATTAAAAAATTATTAATTTTATAAATTTATATTTTCTTCAATCAAAAAAATACTTTTAGAATAAAAAAAGTATATATAAATTACATAAAACAAGTATTTGTAATTAAAATAATTTTTTTAATAAAATTATTATGTATTACAAATATTCTTTTATATCAAATAATTTGTTAATCTATTTTTTGTATACCTTTATAAAACAAAATAATAAATTTATTAAATAAGTAATAAAAATTTTAACCTATATTTACTTATTAGATTCAAAAAAAAATTTTTTTTACTATAATGTAATAATAGATTGCCATATGATGTTCATGTAAAAATTTAAAGTTCTTACTTGTGACCATTATGGTATAGTGTTTAATCATGTGAGTGAATCATGTTTTGTATTCGATATTAAGTATTTTTCATTTTCTTGGACCAAGAAAAAAAAACCAGAATGAAACAAAATCAGAATTTGGAATTCATGTGAATTGTCGATTAAGTTAGCAGTCGAGTCTTGCTTACATGTTATCCCGAGATTTATTCATTATACACGAAATAATACAATACAATATTAAGTAAATAGCACTGACCATAAATGCTGGCTGTACTGGAATCTTTAGATCGATTTACACAACCGAGGCATGGTTGTAATGTGAAAGCGCTTCATCGAGTGGTAGAAAAACATATTTCCAATGATCAAAACTCACATTCTTGGTGCAACATTTAAATAATGCCTCGCATCAAGATAAATATTTTGATTATGTGCACCCGGATCAAACGCCATGCGCAAGGAATATTCCTTATCGCCAATTATACCGCGTGAGGTCTTTTCATGTATGAAGTATAAATCCTCATTGTCGCCTATCATCAGGATATTTGCAATCTAATCCCGGTACATATTAAAAACTATGTTGCTATTTACACGCAAACAAAGTGGGACGATTATAACCAATCACCTTTTGTAAAGTATGGTCTAGTGCGTGGCGTGGAACACGATTTGGATTCCTATATTAACGCAGAACAGAACATCGTACGACTTGATGAAACCGAAAACATACCTCTAAACTTTTTTATGATATCTCCCAATAATAGATTTGATGTTAGCAGACCAATGTGAAGTTTTTCTTCGTTATCAACGTCATACTCCTGTGGGCTATAGATTTTCGCGTACTGATACAATTCCATAATTGTCGATAAATTCTTATCAATATTTTGATTAACAAAAATGATCTCCAAAAATTGCAGATTGTTCAAGGTGTCATATTTGATCTTTGGCGATCGGAATCGTAGAAATCCTTAAATAATTTATCCCCAACGTTCTCGGACTTTCAGAGAAACACCATCGTGACTTTATACCTTAATAACGATGATTTGTGGTTCGGGTCTATCACTTGGTCATGGCAAATCCATTTTAGGTACTCTTCCGGGATTTAAGAGTTCCTTTGCATTGTCCATCTGTTTTCGAATATCACAACCGTTTATATTTATGTGGATGTAAAAATTACCTGTGTTAATAATATCTTTATTTTATAATTATAATTTTCCGAGTATGGGTACAATTTATTTCGAGCTCTCATTGTGTACAATATATCTTAAATGATATTTACAATGTATTTCCCCTAAAATGACTTTGTTGTTATATTGCTAATGCTATTTACAAAGATAAGATATTGATTTGTTCTATGAATGCGTTCATTCCTAACAGTTGTTATAATTATGTAAGATTCAATTTCAGAACAATAAATATAACGGAATGCCTATTTGCGATCACAGATTGCCCAATAGATTTTCATGAAAAAAATCAACAATGTAATTGATGTATCTTGCCAAAGTACCACTTGCGGCGACTCTCCGCTCTGAAATCTTGTCGTCGTTAAAGAGATTTCGATTCGATATTAACAAATCTTTTCTTATGTTTTCCTCTGCATCTCTTGATTGATATCGAGTCGAATGTGTAAACTAAATAAAAATTAATAGATCAAATATATATATATTATGCTGTATAATATATGTGGCAATTTACCTCACCACCCCATTCAACAATGAGTCGAAGTTCTATAAATGATTCATCCACTTTACTATACGAAGGCTTTATCAGCACCTTTATTCCAGGAAGATCGTTTGGCATTTGTAATACTAGCTTAAGCTGTTGTAATTTATCTAAATCTTCGCAGCGTAATTTAATGGCATCCTCTACTGCTCTTGATACTCTCCCCAATTCTTGCTCATTTCGCAATATAATTTCTTCAGTCGAAGTATCCAGTAATTCAAAAAATGGGTTACTTCGAAAAATAAACTTCATTTTTTGCTTTGTTGTACGTTCTGCGTGTCGAAAAATTGGCATGGGGACTTTAAGACGCCAAGAGTTTTCGAAAGGAAATTTTTTGGGTACTGAGTCGATTTTGACTTTTCGTTTTTGAATAGCTTTCAAAAACATAGTTCCCAGGATACGCGCACAATTATTATAATAATCATCGCTTCCCTTTACAAAAGACCAACCATTCACATCGATAACATAAGATTTTCCCTTGACCCTAACCAAGTCAAATCCACAGATGGTTTGACCAAAGGCAAGAGAAATAACGCTTGCAATCTTTTTTTCTTCGGGTGTGAGTGTTGCAACATAACGAACCTCTTTCCCATCATTGCTACGATGCACCAGACCATCGACCACCGGCGATTTTCGTGTTTCTGCATGGGCATATTTGTGTCCAATTGTATAAACCTTTATATCTTCCGCATGATCGACATTCATGAATTGCTCATAAATATATGAACCGTCTGTGCGCGGCTTCGACATTAGTGGATCGAATTCACTCGACTTGTTGGACACCTGAAAATTTTCATGCACAGATAATACATATTTATCAATATGACGCGTTTAATCTCTATCCATCATTAATATCATAGCTCGCTTTTATAATATTGCTCATAGGTACCTTCCGAAACAGCCGACGCCCTCCTCCACCCATTTCCGAAGAAAAATATATATGTATATTATGATCTTCGCCGCTAATGGGCTTTTCGACGAAAGGTTTTCGCAATAATTGACCGTCAACACTAATAGTATCAAAGTCAATCATCTCAACTTTAGCAGGAGGACATGAGGTTTGTTTGAGCCGTGTTCCTACATTTTTATGCACTTGCGACGTCACGTCTGGATCAATCTTTGGTCCTCCGTCTTTACTGGCAACCAAACGTTTGGGAGTAGGGATACCTAAAGTATCCAGTAATTTCATGACTATACGTCTATCCCATAGGGTTTTTTGCATAGGAAGATCGTTCACACAGAAAGGTCTTCGTAATTTAACATACTCGATTGCTTTATCCAATGGAAAGCCATTAGAAAAAAAAGATATAAAGAAATCGCAAACAGGCCAATTCTCGACGTCTAGATATTGATGTAAGGTTGTTATTTTCCTTCTTCCCCTTAAAAAAAAAAAGCATTAGAAAAGATTACCTTCTTCTAAAATAACTTTGTCACCAAATATCACGGTTTCGAACTCGTTATAATCGTGAAGTCTGTTTAAAATATTCCGCATAGGCTTCGAACGCGCCTTACAGTCCATAGCACAAATTCCAATAACATCTGGAAAATAAATAAGATCACCCGTAATATATTAAAAGCTTATCGAGCTACGATATGTTTTTTTCAGAAAGGAAAGACAATTTACATTTTGACCTGCAACTCGCAGTGGTGGATTCGGTAATGTTGAAAGAAGGCAGGGACGAAGAAGTAAGCGTTTGTATCTCGTGATATAATTTCGTAGACATGCCTAAATTGTTACCAAAGAAAGGGTGAGAACGGAGAGATTCCGCTGCCATTTATATATTAGTGATTGTAACCTTTTTGTCGTGGAAAAATTATTGTTTCTGGTGATGAAATATTCACACATTGACCATATTTGTACAAAGATTGACTATCCTGCATTGATTACAAAGTCAGGTACGTGCTGCGTATTGACGAGTTCCATGCATAAGTACTTTACTGTAATGAAAATCTACAGTATATAAATTTCTCTAATATACAGTAGTACGTAGCACGCATACGCTGTATTGTACAAAAGTTAATTTTATAAATGAATATCTTTTTTTGATTGTTATCGTATGTGATACGAATGTAGAGTATTTAGAATTTTAGATTTACAAGACCAGTTTTTCTTATTGCTTTTAGCACTTTAGACAAAATGTTGACATATCAATTGTGACCTTATGACAAATGAAAATTCGCACAGTTTATCAGCTTAGCCATACGATATGCCCGTATTACCTTCATGGTCAAATACTTTCTTTGACAGTTAACGTTTCTTTAAAACCTATTATTAATTTCAGAAAGCTTCACTGGACGTATCAACATAAACATTTTACAATGTCAAAGAAATTTGGTTAAGAACTAAGCATATTTGTAATAACTTCGGACTATTATAATCTTTTTAATGGTTAGATGGGTTTTCACATTAAAATTAACGAATCACATTGGTTATTAATTTTTTTTTTATTTTATATATACGATAATAATCGATTGAATCGGTTTTTTAAAAAATATAATTTTAATTTGATAAATTTATATCGTATT